GGCCGTGGGGCCGGGGGGGGGCCGGCCAAGCGGGGCGCCCTCCCTCGGCGCTGAGTCCCCGCGCCCGGGAGGGATGGGGCGGGCTGCCACCGCCGCCTAAGATGCCGGCCATGCGGGGCCTCCTGGCGCCGCAGAACACCTTCTTGGATACCATCGCCACGCGCTTCGACGGCACGCGTGAGTCCGACCTTCTCCCCACCGACTCCGAGAGGAGCAGTTTTCCGCCTGGGTCCTCCCCCCCACCCCCGGCCCTGCGCCCCCACATCTCAGCTTGGCACCCGCCTTTTCTCACCCTCTTTCCCCTCCCCGCCCCTCTTGGAGCTGGGACTTCTGTCTCCTTCCAGGTGCGTTTCCCCAGGGAGTTCAGGGAGGACCCTGTTCCAGGCGAGGCAACCGGGCTAGGAGATTAAAGACCCCCGTGTGGGGTGCACAGGATGCTCGCTGTTCTCCCCGGCATGAGCCTGAACCTAGTCAAGCTCACCCATGCCATCCTTGCCTCAGGCCTTATTGCAACGACTTCTGTCGGACTAGTGGGGTGGGGTGAGGTGGAGCAGTTGTGCTCAGGGACAGCCCGGTGGGCTTAAAAACCAGATATGTATGGCAGGAAGGGTAAAAAAAAAGGTTTGCAAATGGAGATAGAGTAGAGGGGGCTGGGGAGGGCACTGTGCGTCCAAGCCCATCTCAGCCTAAACCCACCAGCCTTGGAGAGCCGGTCTAGCCCCAAAGAATTTGAGGATTTCCCCACCTGGGCAGGGAAGTTTGGAGGAAGGCAACCTGAGCTTCTGGATCCTGGGCTTCAGGGGCTCTGAGCACAGCGCACGTGGTGCAAGGCCCCCAGCCCTCCTGCCTCACAACACCAGTGGGGCTTCCCAGCTCTGCTAGTCCTCCATGGTCTCCGCTTCCTGTTAGGGGGTGGGAGCCCATCACTGAGCTCTCCCTCCTCCAGGCACCTCCATCTGCTTTGCTAGTGTACTTGGCTCCTGCAGCCTGCTGATTCAGCGCCCCCCACTCCCCAATACATTCCTGGCTCCCGTGTTCAACCACCATTCCTACACCCCGATACTTGACCACATTCACCAGTTCTTTAGTCAGGTCAGGCGACTAGGGCTCAAACACAAAGGGCAAGCTGGATGGTGGCCTGGGTTGGCTCTCAGTCCAGGTGGGTCCCAGTGGGAGGAGCCAGACAACCACCCTCCTACCTGGCTGGTGAGTGAGCCTGGCAGAGGCAGTGTCCGGTCTGAGGCTGACTTAGAGCTGGTAGTGCAGTTCTCCTTTGGGCGTTCCTAGCCCCACCCCTATCCCACACTGCTCAAGACTCCCACACGGGGCTGCACTCACTAATCTCTGTTCACACCTGCAATTCCCAAATGCACTCACGCACATGCTGCTGGAAGCGGGCCCTTGCAGGGCACTGATACACTGATGACAGATTCCCATTCATGAATAGCTCCTACTCTGCGGCCCCTGCAACACACACACAGGATGCTTGGGGTTGGTAAAACCCACCTTTTGGGTAGAGGCACTCAAAAAAGGAAGGTGGTTGGCCCGCTGCCCCTTCACCCCACACGCCTTCTGAGAAATGCTCTCTTGCAGACAGTAACTTCGTGCTGGGCAATGCCCAGGTAGCGGGGCTCTTCCCTGTAGTCTACTGCTCTGATGGCTTCTGTGACCTCACGGGCTTCTCCCGAGCCGAGGTCATGCAGCGGGGATGTGCTTGCTCCTTCCTCTACGGGCCAGACACCAGTGAGCTAGTCCGCCAGCAAATCCGCAAGGCCCTGGATGAGCACAAGGAGTTCAAGGCTGAGCTGATCCTGTACCGAAAGAGCGGTGAGAAACCACCTGCCTGGCCTGCCTCACCTAACCCCAGCCTGGTATCCACCCGATCCACTATCCCTTCTCCTCTCGGTCCCCATCTTCATCTCCCTGTCACATCCCATTTCCACATACAGCCATCATCCTTTCCTCCCTTCTTCCTCCTCCCCACCTCTTGTCCCTGGCCCCTCCTCTGTCCCATCCTTATCCCAGCGTCCACTCGGTTCCGGTCTCGGATTGCCCACACCCAGCGGGAAGACATACCTGTCTGAGCAGAACAGAGCTGTGAACACACATGTATGGCAGTCATATTGCTCTTCCGTACCTCTCCGCCGCTCTCCCCTCGCTTCCATCAGGCCCTCTCCTAAGTGGAACCTGCTTGCCACGCCCTCCCTAGATCCTGCTTGCCCAGGGTCAATGGAGCTAGGGCCTGTGTTGCCATAGGCAGGGCCGAGAATGGAGGAGGGCTGAGTCTGTCTTTGTGCCCAGGGCTCCCGTTCTGGTGTCTCCTGGATGTGATTCCCATAAAGAATGAGAAAGGGGAAGTGGCACTCTTCCTGGTCTCTCACAAGGACATCAGTGACACCAAGAACCGAGGGGGCCCTGACAGCTGGAAGGAGACAGGTGAGCGCCCATGGGCCGTTGATCTGGCAGCGGTGCCTCAGGCTGGCAAGGGCTTGGCAGCCAGTCTGGGCTTGTGGGTCCCCCAAACCCCTTGCGTTCATAGACTTCCGCCCTGGCTGTCTGAGAGGCCCATGATGCTGGCCCCTCTGCATGCCCAGGTATGCCTGTCTTTTCCTTAAATAGCCCAGTTAAGACAATGCTGGAGTTTTAAGTCAACTTTACTAAGGAACTGAAAGTGAATGCTAATGCCTGTGAAGCCCCTTTTCTGGCCAGGCAGTGGCGCTGGGCATAGACCCACCTGGTTCCTTTTCCCCAGGACAAACCTGACTGGCCAGAGCCCTCTTTCCAGTTCTTGGTGCCTTCCCCCTCTTAGACCCTCCAAGGCCTGAGTCAGGCCTTTGGGCGGGTCATCAAGCTGTCATTCAAGCTGCCCTAAGGCCTTTTAGCCACTTATGGGAGCCAGGGTTTTTTTTCCCTGCCAGACAGCCCTGGGTCTGCCTCTCCAGCATGTCACCTTTAGTGTCACCCTCTGGTCCCTGCCCCTGTGTTCCTGAGCCTCTGCTGATGGCCTCTTGTTGGCTCTGTCCCTGTCCCCTGTCATATCTCCCCACTTCCTCTCCCAGGCCTTTCCCCATGGGGATCCTCTCCTGCCTTACCTGGTCCAAACCTCTTCCTCCTGGAAGCAGACCCTGGGAGTAGTGTCTATAAGCCCCGCTAGGACTGCCAGTTGCTGGGGTTAGTAGGTGGTCCCTCAAAGGATGGCCTGTGCCCCGACTCTAAACAGACTTAGTGGTCAGTGAGACAGAGCAGTCCTTGGAACTGGTGTCTTCCTCCCAAGACCCCGGTGCTGGGGTGTGTGGAACACTCCTTACAACTTTTGTGGGTCCCTCTTTTGCAGGTGGTGGCCGGCGCCGGTACGGCCGGGGAGGAGGCCAAGGGCTCAACGACCCCCC